GGCTGCAAACTTGGTGTAAATTTTAAATGTCTGTATCTGTAAAAATTTGTGAATGTCCGACTCTGATTAATATCGATGCCGTTTGCCTGCAACAAGATGATCTTTTCGGAACGAGAAAGCTGTCAGTATAAAAGGCACATCGCCTGGTGCACGTGATCTGTCTGTTGCGTTTAAGGACTGTAGCTTTCGAGGGGTGTTTCTGAAAAAGTTCTTCGGCTAGATTAGGGTGGACTTCGTAATTTTATCCCAGCATGTTGAACATCAGGGGTCTGTGTTGAATAAGATTATTGAATGACTGTTTGCAGTGTCGGGAAATGTATATCTGCGTACAATTTTTTTGGCGTGCAGGCAGAGTGTGCGTAAGCGTAGCATTGAATTCCGCAGGTTCGAATCCGCTCAAAGGATTGCATTTGTGTTAACAATGCGTTCCATTGAGAAATAAACTAACGCCAAGGTGCTTTGTCGCTGCGAGCCAAGTAACGGGGAATAAGTTTATAATTTGCGAGAACTAGGGACAGCATGATAGTTTGGTGTGGTCATGCCAGAATGTGTTCGACCAGATTTTCCGATGGGCTCGCTCCTTATGACTGCACTTCATCTGAACTCACCTGTTAGCTGACTATCCAGTGCTATAATCAACACAATATGTAACCTCGATTTCGATTTAAAAGTCGAAGTTAAATATTTTCTGCGACAGTTAAGTCAAATTGGAACGATCCTTTACGGGTGACTCCGCAGACCAGGCCTACCGTGAATTCTCCAACGTTTTGGATCATGCTCGATCCGTCTTCAAGGAACGACATCAAACCAAGAAAACGAGTTACGGTTTGTCTTGTTTAGTATCTTGTAAATGATCTTTCCAGCATCTCTGTGTATTTACTGCTTTGCTTGATGCTGTGAACAGCTAAGCTTTTATAGAAATTTCTAGCAAGCTACACGCGAAAGTCTAAGACTCTTTGTATAGTGTTTCTCATCTGAGCACACGCTCATATACTCTTAATCACTCTTTGTGAATTCAAAAATACCCATGACTTGCAAAGTTTCCTATCAAAACTAGGATATCCGATACCGCTTCATAACATTTTCGCGTCTCTTGAGGATTAACGCAAATCACCTATTTTGTACTAACTAGCGGTGTCGAAATGTAATTAAATAAATAAACTCAGAATATTACGATCATTTTTGTCCATATTTTGCAACATGTCGTTGCCTTCCATAGACGTGACTGTGGAACACTGTCAGATTCTTGGACGAAGTGAACATAACAGTTCCATAAATCTCCAGTTAAGCAATCAAAGACTATTAGCTTATGTAACTAGCGTTCTTTAACATGTATGTATTTCGTATATAGCTTAAAAGCTGTAGGTTGATAGTTTGGTTTGCAGTGTTCACGGCTGAACGAACATTCGCAGATAGGTGAAGGTGCAGTTTAGTCGAAATCATTAGCACTTCATTAACCATGCGTGCCCTGATTGGTTCGCTTTGCACAGTCGCATTCGAGATGCTAATTAGGAGAAATGATGAATTCCACCAAAAACCTGACCGAACGTCCCCAGCGAGTCCAGTGAAACTGTTCATGTACGTGAATTTGTATTCCATTATGTTCTTTGATAAAAAAATTTCTGTCGATATACTTTGTGTTTAGTTATGTTAAATGCATCAGAATAAAGTTATACGCGTTCTATTTCTTGCTTGTCGACTTGTGGAATTTTCCAATTTCTTCGATGCTTTTAAATATGAATAAAAAGATTACCTTAATTTGTGATGTTAAACTGCAGAAATGGTTAAAATGTTCGCGTGCGGGTTTACCTTTAGACCACTTTAGACACTTTTTAGCACTAGGTATGACTGAATTTCCAGACGCTGTTGGTCATTTGTAAAACATTCTGACGTTTCAGTTTCTTTTCCAACTTCAGCCGTCTGTACCGCAGTCGGAATACATCGCACTTAGCTCAAACGGGCATTTTTTGTCGTAGCTGCAATGGGATCATGCTGATGAATTGTTGACGAATTTGATCACACTAATCATGTTTAATTACTTTTGAAGATATGTACTTGTTTTCTTATCGTCATCTGAAGCTAACAGTCTAGCTAATATAGTCAGCATTGAATGAAAGGGTAGATGTTAGGTGGCTGCGCAAAACTTCAACAAAAATTTAACATGGTGGTTCGAGCTACCCTTCATTACTAGCCACTCCTCCAGGGTGAGATCAGAGCTGAGATTGCTTGGACATGTGTAGAGGATGTCAAAAAAAAGTACGTTATAACTCTAATAGTTAGAGCGACAAGGAAGATGACACAGTAGAGTAGCAGACCGCGGGGTGGATGGTTCGATCATATAGAAAACCGAGTGACCACTTTTTGAAACACCCATAAGGTTGAGCATTCGATGGACTGGAACGATTGGAAAGGCCACCCACGACCTGAAAGGAAAAGCGGATTTGAAAAATGAATGATTAAAAAACCGGGTCGACTTCGTGACGTACTGATAAAAATTGTCCGTTTATGTTTCTTTGAAGCTGAGTGACAACTGCATGCTACCTTTCGCGAAGTCACTTTACATTAGGTTACTCGCTGCATCCAAGCATTCAATTGTTTTCATTGCACTTTTGATTTTCAGTGTCAGAATATGAATTGGCTCCTTGATTACAAGCTGTATCCTGGTGTTACTTTGTTTCTTACCAGTTACCCGAACGAAAACATGACTGAAGACAATGTAAAATGACGTATGATAGAATTCTCGAGTATTCATCACGGCAGTTGTAGACAGATGTTCTTTAATTCTTTAACGTTAAGCCGTCTTTAGCTCTTGTCTGTATAAATTCTATCGTTACAGAATAGAACGAGGAATTCTATTCCAAGAAGAATATTTGCGGACTTGCCCTGTAAACTGTGCGGTTGGCTTCTGTCGGAAATGAAGTTCCTGAACAGAAGTGTCATCAGTGTCATCTATTTTGTAATAGTACATAAATTCACATAGATAAATTTTGACTAGTTTTGAAACGTTAAGGCAAAACCGCATGAAGATTATGAATATTATCTCTGGAAGGTTGTTTAAGTTAAGTGTTTCGAGCCATGATATAATATTGCTGGGTTACACGATTTTTTGTGGAAAGCTAGTATGTAGCTGAACGAGGCGCATATTTTACTGTTTCATAGTAATGAACAGAACGCAAGACTGAACATACCGATTTGAGTCAGTTGATGACCGAAGCAAATTCCAGTGGTTCATAAAGTACTTCTGAATTTTTATTTAAACCCAGTGCATTATTTCCCACTAGGAAGTAATGGAGTGCTTCATACTGTAAACACTCACGAACTTCGTCCAAGATGGCTGGTAACCCAACCCCCATGTCATTCTGAGCTGCGCTTTCTACAACAGCGAGTAAAGTTCGCAGTATGCCGTATCAGAATTAAAAGCAGTTACATGTTTAGCTGCGCTAGGAGCGATGCTAAGGGACCCGAATTTCTGACTAACGCACGTAGTTCGAATTTTCGGCTAGTCACCGTCGCCGTCACTCAATTATTGTTTTTCGCTATTTCGACAAGGTACTTTAAGCGCTTAGATTTTAGGTTCTTATTGTCGCAGCTGCTGATCCAAATGCTTAGAAACCTAATAGCCACGGTGCAGCGACAGCATGCTGCCCGCGTTGCGCACACGCACGTTCTAATGGTGAACGGTTCGGTGTATCGCCACTACGGCAAGCAGCGAGACAAGGGGGACGTCAGAAAGAAGACGATC